TGATGATGATGATGATGATGATGATGATCGTGATCATGTTCATGCTCCTGATCGTGCTGATGGTGATGGTAATGGTGATGATGACGATGATGATGCTGCTGATGCTGATTATCATTAGGATTGGGTTGAGGATGATGATGATTATCACAATGATGGCGATGATGAGGATGGTCATGGTGATGGTCATTGTGATGATATGTGATGATGATGATGATGATGATGATGATGATGATGATGATGATGATGATGAGTATGATGCTGATACCTCCGATGATGATGGTGATGACGATGATGCAGATGAGGAAGAGGAGGAATAGCAGGATGATCCGGAAGAAATGAGGAGGATATTGATGTTGATGATGATGGTTGTGGTGGTGGAGATGATGAGGATGAAGTGATTTGAGTACGAGTATGAACATTAGCATGATCATGTATGGTTTCTGGCGTTGACTACCACTGTGAAATTATCCCGGCGAAGGACCCAACCATATGCAGTTGTGGGTACCGTTATTGTTAATGTCTTCTTCGGTGGCGCTCCTTGTGGGGCCACGAATCCACGAACCGTATGAGGGGTGTGCCGAATTGCGAGGCGGGGTACACAACACGAAGGAAGACGATAGGTCTACGTACGAGAGACTGAGCGCGGGTGAGTCTGGAGCAGCCACTGGGGCCTTCGGTGGAGCTCCCCACGGGGCCACGTAACGTGTGAGGGGTGTGCCGACATGGGGGTGGAACCGCATGCGGGCGCAGCCACTGGGGCCTTCGGTGGAGCTCCCTACGGGGCCACGTAACGTGTGAGGGTTGTGCCGACATGGGGGTGGAACCGCATGCGGGCGCAGCCACTGGGGCCTTCGGTGGAGCTCCCTATGGGGCCACGAAGCGTTTGAGGGGTGTGCCGACATGGGGGTGGAACCGCATGCGGGCGCTGCCACTGGGGCCTTCGGTGGAGCTCCCTATGGGGCCACGAAGCGTTTGAGGGGTGTGCAGACATGGGTGTGGAACCGCATGCGGGTGCTGCCGCTGGGGCCTTCGGCGGAGCTCCCTATGGGGCCACGAAACGTGCGAGTGGTGTGCCGAAATGGGGGTGGAACCGCATGCGGGCGCTGCCGTTGGGGCCTTCGGCGGAGCTCCCTATGGGGCCACGAAGCGTGAGAGGGGTGTGCCGAAATGGGGGTGGAACCGCATGCGGGCGCAGCCACTGGGGCCTTCGGCGGAGCTCCCTATGGGGCCACGAAGCGTGTGAGGGGTATGCCGAAATTGGTGTCGATGATGGTGACGCTAACGGCGATGATGATGGCGTTGATGGTGATGATGACGATGATGAAGACGACGATGATGATGACGACGATGATGATGACGACGATGATGATGATTACGATGACGATGATTATGACGATAACGATGACGATGACGATGATGATGATGACGATGATGACGATCATGATGATGAGAGGAGGAGGGAGGGGAGAGCGGGAGGAGTGAACGCGGGGCGCTGTCTCTTCAAAACGAGGACCCAACACCACAGGATGGTTGGGGAAAACGTTGACGATGAGATTGATGATGGTGATGGTGAGGATGATGATTATGCTGAACATGATTATGATGCTGATGAGGATGATTATGATGATGCTGATGCTACTGATGATGTAGATGATGCTTATGATGACGATGCTTCTGACTATGATGACTATGATGACGACGATGGTGATGACGACGACGACGATGACGATGATGATGCTGATGTTGGTCATGGTTCTGATGATCATGGGCAGGAAGAGGAGGAGGGAAAGAGGAGGGAGGAGGAAGGAGGGAGGAGGGAGGAGGGAGAGAGGAGGATGGAGGGAGGGAGGAGGAGGAGGAGGCAGAGGAGGAGAGGAGGACCAGTGTAAATCCAAGGGTCATCAACGATGTGTGGATAAACTCTCCCTCCAAGCTCCGTCTTCATAGGCCCCTACATGAGTTGATTTCCACTGAGGGAACTGGTTCGTTGGAAGACACCCGTTTGAAGACCCTGATGCATGGCAAAACAACGTTCTCGGGATTCCAACGCCACGGATCAACCTGATTGTTGCGTCTTGACGATCCTGAATCGTACCAGAACGCCTTTTCGGGGGCCTTCAACACAGAGAGATTTAACGTAAACGTTGCGCCCTAATAATCCTGAATCCGTCCTAGTACGCTGATCATTCGAATCCGTGAAACTCTTGCAATTCGGTAAAACGGAACGTGCGCTGTGCACAGGCGGGGGCCGCATTTTCAAAAGGAACCGCTCTCAATCCATGAGGCTCTTACAAATGTATAAGATCAACGTACGCCGCGCTGAGGCGAGAATCACATTTTGAAAACCACTCGCCCTCAATATGTGAAATTGTTCCAAATGTTTGAAACCATTGTGAGAGAGACACATGTTGAAAACCACCCGCCCACCATGTGTGAACCGGTTGTTAATGTTTAAGCCTCAGAGTCATGAGTGATGAGGAAGTCTCAGGCGAAACGCCCGGCCCGCCCTACAAACGAGGCTCGGAGTGCGACAGGGAGAAGTTCTTTATAAGGGCAAGGGATGGAGGAGCAGGAGGAGGAGGAGGAGGGGGCGGAGGACACGGGCGGGAGGACGGGAAGGCGAGGGGCAGCAGGGAGCGCAGCAAGAGGATGACGATGAGGATGGGCGGGGAGATGTTTGTTTCTGGTGGCACAACGGCGACGTGCCCCTGTACGTGCCTCCCTCCCCCTTCCATCCTCCCTCCTCCCGTCACCTCTTCTCCTCGCACTCCTCCACCTCTGCTCCTCACCCGTTCTGGAAAATTATAATTTTGCACGTGATGCCATGCACAAGCCGACTCCTCTGCTGTTCCTCCTCGTCCTCCCTCCGTCCCCCCTCCTGCTGCTCCGCTCTCCCCAGCTGGCGCTTGGCCAGGGGGCCGAGGGGCCCGCCAAGACCGCCACCGCTCCGCGCCAGCGCGGCGGCGAGCCCGCCGCAGGCGTCCAGCGTTGAACCCCGCTGATGCCCAGAATCGCACGGGACCGCTGAGAGGACCGACAAATTCATCCAGGAGAAGATCTTCTTCCTCCGTTTAAAGAGCGGGTGAAGAGCAGAGGTGGAGGAGTGGGAGGAGAAGAGAGGAGGGGAGGGGGGAGGATGGAAGGGGGAGGGAGGCACGTATAGGAGGACGTCGCCGTCGTGGCACGAACAACGAACATCTTCCTGCCCATCCTCATCGTCATCCTCTTGCCCTGACCCCTGCTGCCCCTCGCCTTCCCGTCCTCCCGCCCGTGTCCTCCTCCCTCTCCTCCTCCTCCTCCTCCTCCTCCTGCTCCTCCTCCTCCTCCTCCTCCTCCATTCCTGTTCCTTATACAAGGTTTCTCCCTGTCGCACCCCGAGGCCAGTTTGTAGGGCGGGCGGGGCGTTTCGCCTGAGACTCCCTCACCTTTTATGGCGCTGAAGCTCAAACATTGGCAACAGTTCCACAGATTGAGGGCGGGCCGTTTTCAAAATGTGGCTCTCTCTTCAGCGCGGCACATACTCGTCTCGAAACTTTGCAAGGGCTTCACGGATTGAGGGCGGTTCCTTTTCAAATTTCGTTTTCGCCTTAGCGCCGTGCACATTCGTTTTCAAAATTTGGGGAAGCTCCACGGATTGAGGGCGGGCCGTTTTAAAAATGTGCCTCTCGCCCGAGAGCGGCGCACATTCGATTTAAACATTTGGACCAGTTGCACGGATTGAGGGCGAGTGGTTTTCAAAATGTGATTTTCGCTTCAGCGCGGCGCAAATTCGCTTTAAACACTTGCAAGAGCTTCACGGATTGAAGGTGGCTCCTTTTCAAAATGTGGTTATCGCATTAGCGCCGCGCACACTCGTCTACAACATGTTCAAGAGTTCCACGGAATTCCCGTCATCAGCGTACCAGAAGCGGTGTTTTGGGAGGGTGAAGGAGTTTGCCAGCGCAACATGTACGTTGATCCGTTGTGTTGAAGGCCTAGGAATGGCGTTCTGGTGCGATTCAGGATCGTCAAGTCGCAACAGTCAGGTTGATCCGTGGCGTTGTAATCCCGATAACACATGTGTTGGTATGCTTCAGGGTCTTAAAACTTGAATTGTCTTCCAACGAGGCAGTTCTCCTAATGGAAATGAACCGTTGTAGGGGCCAATGAAGAGGGAGCTTGGAGGGATGGCTTACTCCAATATCATTGATGACCCTTGGGTTTGCACTGGTCCTCCTCCTCCTCCTTCGCCTCCTCCTCCTCCTCCTCCGCCTCAGCCTCGTCCTCCTCCTCCGCAATCGCGGAGCATTCGGCGCTGCCGGAAAGCCGAGCCACGCTCGCCTAAGGCTGACAAAGCCCCACGCGGTGTCGGAGACCGTTTCCGGCGTCGGTCGCGGCACGGAGCCGCCGCAGGTAAACAGACAGCCCCCCAGACATGGTCTGCGATGTCTGGAAGTCATTCCGAGGGGGATCCCGCCGCGGCGACGTGAGTCGAAGAAGAAGAATAATAACACAAACGATATAAACATAAATTGTTGGCGCTCCGCATGGATTTCTTGGATTCGTGCTGGGCCACCCCCCAGCGGCGCCTCGGGCGCCGCCCCTGGCGCGCCCCGCGCGCCAGGAAGGGGACTCCAGCGCAGATCCAAGAAATCCTCGCCGAGCGCCAAAAGGTTTGTGCAACTTTGTTCCTTTTCTAGTGAGGTCTCCTGGAGCCCCCAAACACTCCGATAACCTCGATCATCGATTCAGCGCCGACGTCAGAAATCATCGCCGACGGTCCGCAGACGGCAGCTGTACACCGTGCCTTGCCAGGGCCATCCTGGGCCCCACGATGGTGTAGAACTAATTAGACCCTGCTGGCCTCGGCCAGGCGGCGTGTGCATTACACCAGGGCCCAGGGTGGCCACCAATCACAAAAGACGAGCCTGCCGCACGCGAGGGTGGGCTGAGTGCCTTCTGTTCCGCTTGTGCCCCCCTCTTGACCCGCCCCCCTCGAGAAGGAGGGCGGTGAGACGGGAATGGGCGTCGACATGGTAGTGAAGAACGGGAAGCTGGACGAGGCAGCCGCGCGCCGTCGTTGTCGCGTCGTCGCCGCCGCCGCGGGTCCGAGTTGTCCGAGGGGGCAGCGGGGCTCTGCACACGGGCGCCACCGGTCAGGTGTGTTGCCACCTCTGCAGGCGAAGTTGACAGGTATCGGTTCCTCGCTCGCTGCGCCTCGGCCGGACGTGGCTGCCGATGGGGAATGGCTGCAGAGCCATCTGACGTCGCCTCAAAGGGGGAGACGTCGCCACTGCCTACCAGAGACCGCCGACCCCATTGGGGCGGCAGCAAGAGTGAGAAGCGGAGTTTGCGGAACGCGCGCGATTTCTGAGGAATCTTGGGGTTTCAGTTTCTTGGGGATTTCGTCGGGGGCGGCTGGGGGATCGCGGCTCTGCTCTTGGGCTTCTCTGGGCTCTCCTGGCACATTTTTGATGCCTCTTGGCAGCCGTGTTGAGGTGTTGGGCCTCTCGAGGGCCTCGTGGGAGCCTCTTGGGAGCCTCTTGGCGCTTCCTGATGTTTTTGTTGGAGCCGAGTGCTCGAAATGTTCATTCGGGTTCCCCCTCTGGGCCTCCTTTTGGGGCCGACCTGGGGCCCTCCTGGGCCTTTTTGGAGGCTTCTGGGGCTGTTTTTGGGCGCTCTTGGGCTGTCTCGAAGCCCTCTTGGGGACCTCTCGGGCTATCTTGGGTCGATCTTGAAGGCTTCTTGGGCCGTTGAGGGCAGCAGTATGAATGAATGAATGCATGCATGCATGCATGCATGCATGCATGCATGCATGCATGAATGAATGAATGAATGAATGAATGAATGAATGAATGAATGAATGAATGAATGAATGAATATATATATATATATATATGTGTATACACATACATATATATATACATATATATATACACATATAATTATATAATATGCGTACGTTGCCTCCTAGGGAATGGGACTATGTTTGTTTCTGGAGGGCCTTTTGGGACGCCTCTTGGTGGCTTCTTGGGGCGTCTTGGGTGCTTCTGGGGGCGTCTGGAGGCAATCTTGTGCGTCTTGGAACGATATTTCGGCGACTCGTTGCCCTCTTGCACCGTCCGGGTGGCCTTTTGGGGCCCTTTTGGCTTCCTCGCGGAATTTCAGAGTTAGCGCACGCAGCTGTAAGCCAGCGTTGCTGCGAACGCTGCTAAACTTGAAGATCCACTCCCACTCCATCTTCCTCATCTCGAACTCCTCCCTCTTCTCTTCCCCTTCTTTCCTCCCACCACCCCGGCAGTCGCTGTGTATTCAGTTGGATGCGGCTGGACACCCCCAGCCCCAGTGGAGACCAGACCTAAATTTGGTCTGGTGCTGGGGCATCGGATAAGAGCAGGAGGAGGAGGAGGAGGAGGGAGGAGGAGGAGGAGGAAGAGGGACGCAGGAGAAGCAAGAGGGAGAGAGGATATGTAGGAGAAGGCTGAGGAGGAAGCGAAGGGTGAGGATGAGGCGCAGAGCTAGGAGCACCAGTGTGAACCAAAGTTGTATCAACGATGTTGCAATACATTTTCCCTCCAAGGTCTCTCTTGATGGGTCCCTGATTCTAAATCTTGCCAGAAGGCTATTCCTGCCACTTCAACACCACGAAGCAGTGAGACTGCTGCGTCCTGGCAATCCGAAATCGTACCAGCGCACTGCGCCTGGGACTTCGACCGTACGAATATTTGAAACTGTTGTCAAGTTTACAGACGGACGTGCGCGGCGTTAAGGCGAGAGCCACATTTACGGCTGTATGTTTTAAGACGGATGTGCGTGGTGTTGAGGCGAACGCGACAATTTGAAAACCACCCGCCGTCCTTCAATGAATGTGTTGGACACGTTTTAGACGAATGTGTGCGGCGCTGTGGCGAGAGCCACATTTATAGAAACATCCGCCTTCCATCCGTGAGGCTGTTGTAAACGTTGGATACGATGTGTGCGCTACGGCGAGAACCACATGTTGCAAACCACCCGCCCTCCATCCGTGAATGTTCTGAAAATGTTTCAGACGACTCTATGCGGTGTAGAGGCGAGGGCCACATCTTGTAAATCACACGCCGTCCTTCCGTCAAAGTGCTGGAAACGTTTAACTCAGATGAATGTGTGTGGATCTACGGCAAGAGCCACATGTTGAAACCCACACGCCGTTTTTCAGCGAAATTGTTAAAAAGGTTCAAAGAGAACGTGTACGGCGCTATGGCGACAGCCGCATTTTGAATGCCACCCGCCCACCAGAAGTGACATTTCTTTGAATGTTTCAGACGAACGCGCGCGGCGCTAAGGCTAGAGCCGCATTGTGAAAGCCACCCACCCTCCGTACGTGACAGATGCTGCAAGCTGTGAAGACGCATGTGCGCAGCGCCTCGGCGAGAGCCACACTTTGAAAACGACTGTTGCAACATTTATGCTTCAGGATCAGACTTGGCGAGGCAGTCTCCGGCGACACGCCCGGCCCGCCCTACCGACACGTCTGCGTGTGCGCCAGGGAGGAGTTGTTCATACGGGAGAGGGATTGACGGGGAGGAAAAGGAAGGAGGAAGAGAAGGAGAAGGAGGAGGAACACGATCAGGAGGAGGCCCCCCCCCCGCCTGGCGGATACCGGCGCGCTCCGCTCCGCCCCCGGCCGCGCCCGCGCCGCGGCAGGTCAAGGGCGGGCCGGTGTATTGGGTAGACTCCGCCGACTCGCAGCCCTGCTGCGGCCCGCTCGCGCGCGCCCGCGCCCGCCCCGAGGCCTGCAGGGCCTTCGCTGGACGTCGTCGGGCCCTCGTGCGCGACAGAAAGAGGCTCTTCGGGGGCCCTTCGGAGGCCCTTCGGAGACACTTCGACGAGGCCCCGCGAAAGCCCTTGCCCCTGCTAGTAGCACCTCGACTGCAACTTCGGAGGCCATTCGGAGGCCCCTCGGAGGCCATTCGGAGGCCCCTCGGAGGCCCGTCGGAGGCCCCTCGGAGGCCCCTCGGAGGCCCCTCGGAGGCCCCTCGGAGGCCCCCCGGAGGCCCCTCGGAGGCCCCTCAGGGGCCCCTCGGAGGCCCCTCGGAGGCCGTCGGGAGTGGCTCCGGGGCGCGGCGTGCCCGCCTGCGAGGACAGGCATCGCGGCCGACCGCTCCGCGTGCCCCCCCCGGGCGGGAGGCTCGGCGCACGCGGCGCGACCGCCGCGGCGCAGTGCCCGGCAGAGGAGGCAGCTGTGCATCAGAGCGTGAATTACCTACCCCGCTTTCGCTTCCAGGCAAAACCAAGCCATACCACGCGCCTCCTCGTCAAGCGGCCTGACCAGTACAGGCTGCAATTTGGCATCGTTTGGTATCTCTTGGAAGCGAGGGTGGTCAAAAGCGAGGTAGGTTTGTTTTCCCCCTAGTGCAGCCGGGCCGAGGTCTCAAGCAGTGGCGACGCGTCCTGGCGTGCCCACGGGCCGACCAAATGATGTTCTAAGAACTTTGTGAGGTTTCCACGGGATGTTCTTGGATCGTTTCTGGCTGGGGCTGTGCTGTTTCAACACATCGGGTTTCTGTTCTTAGAACATGTTGGGGTTCGGAGAACATTGCGTAGTAGGCCTATAGGAATGCCGAGACGGTCGGTCCCTGCTCAAAAGTGTGAGGTCGAGGTCGGTTCGGGGAGGGTGCCCGAGAGTTTCTCGTGCTCGTTGGATGTTCTGGTGCATCCTGGGGAGGGCCACTTGGGGTGCTCTCTGTGTGCGTGGGCCGGCGGAGGGTCTTCGTGTTCTCGAGGGAAACTCTACACCTTAGGCGATGCTTAAGAAAATCTAAGTTTTCGGCCAGAGTCTCGATTATTCTTAACGTTTCAATGTAAATCCTAAGATTTTGGATAGGAATGTTGGGTTTTTATTCAAGTTCTGAGACCATGAATTTCTTAACCCATGATTTCTTAACCATTTCGCGTGGTGTACTGGCCGTGGTCAGGCTAGTCGAGCGGTGGATCACGCACGTCAGCGACTTACTCATCCTGGAGAACCTTATCTGGAATGACGCGTTCGGCTCCACGCACTACGGCACCGACGAGCCTGCCAATGATCCTGAGAAGAAGCTCTCGCACACTCTGATGGCAAAGAAGACGGGACACCTCACAATAAAGGACAACACTTGCGCCCTGAACTACAAGGCAACCGACGAGGTCAACGAGATGCGATGGGCCACGCGCTACAGCGAGAGGCCAAGTACGATTCTGAGCTGGCGAAGGGCAGTGCCAGTCTGGCGGACGTGTCACGTGTTGCCGGGATGCAGAGTAAGCCTGCGCAGCCAACTGTTGTACATGACGGCGATACCTCATAACAGGCCTTCGTCTTCCCATCTCCTTATCACTAACAAGATTCATCCCTCCCCCTTTATCATCATTTCGACTCTTCCTGAAGGCGGTCGCACACTGGACGAATCTTCGCATTTTGCTCGCTCTGCCTTAACACGCCATCTGTGCGACTCGGAGAGGCCACCGCTCATTAGACGTCAACCTGTTGATGAGATCAGCTCCTTGCAGCGCCTCACCCTCTTTACTTCTCCTCATATCATCAGCGGGAAGCGTATGGGGGCCCGCTCCCACACGTGTGCGCGTTGCTGCCCACTCGTGTGGGCAGCACCGCGCGCGGCGTTCGGCCCAAAGGCACGAGGCTGTTTCCGTACTGCAGCGGCGAGCACACACAGAAAGAAACACAAAACCCCAGAGGGAAGGGTCGGGGTAGCGCATCGAAAACAAAACAACAACGTCGGATGTCGGGGGTCGGAACAGGTTGTCGTCGCCGTTCCCAGCACCTGGGGGCCGGCGCCAGGCGCCTCATAGAACCCAGGAGGACCTCCAAGATGGCCCTTGGCGTTGCGGGGCGTCCCTGTCAGCTTGGAAGGCTGCTTGGCTTGCGCCCCCCCCTGGCGCGCGCCGCCAAACCCAGACACACGACGATGCGATGTTTCCCCTGCGCGGCCCCAGAGGCCCCCGACCCTTCCCCGGGTGGTAGTCTTCCGCCACCAGCCCCAAGGCCCGATGATTTTTCCCCGGGGCCGAGATCAAGGAAAACCGTCAGGATTGCAACAACAGATCGGTGGAGATCTGCGAACCGCACCTCCCTGATTCTATGCTTAAGTCGGGTTGTCCCTCTGCAGGAATAGTATGCAAAAATGGAAAACAATTTAGTCAGGGGGCGATCTTTGACAAGTTCCAATATGTTTGAATATGTTTGGTGTTTACACATGTATGTGTATATGTGTATATACGTGTATATATATTTACAGACATACATACACACATACATACATACATACACACACATACATACATACATACATGCATACATACATACATACATACATACATACATACGTACATACGTACAAACATACATGTATATACACATGTATACATACATGCATATATATATACATGTATATATATATATATGTATACATACATATACATATATACACATATGTATATATATATATATATATATCGTCCAAATCCACCTGTAGGGAATCAGACCAGGCCCAATTCCAGGCCTCCCAGATGGGGTCGGAGTGGATGGGGTCGGAGGACCGCGCCGCATCGGCGATGCATCGCCGATGCGGTGCGATGCGGAGCCCGATTTTGGCCACGCCGGCGTCGCCGACACATCGCCGATGCATCGCCGATGCACCGGCGAGGCGGCACGATCCTCCGGCCCCAGTTCCTGGGACCCCATCGAGGAGGCCTCCAGTCATTCTCACAGCGGCGGCCGCTGGCGGGGCTGGGGGTTGCGGCAGGGCGGGGCACGATGCCTTTCGTCTCCGCGCCCCCGCAGGCACGGCGGGCATGCTGTCGTGGGAGCTGACGGCGAACGGCCGGCTCTTCCACAGCGGGTTCACGCCCGCTGGGCACCAGGGATGCAGTGGAGACCCGTGCCAAGAAACACCCTGTTTGCCTGCAGGGTGCCCTGAGCTTCTTGTGTGTTCGATGGCTGCGCGATGGCAAGCGTGACGGTCCCACACCAAAAGTCGATGGACGCCCTGGGGTCTGAGGGTTGGGTTTTTCGTGGAAGGTGTTTCTTATGGTCCAGCTCCTACTGCAGATGGAGGCCAGGGGCCAGGGTCCCAGAGCTCGGGCACAGAATTCTGTCCCATTTCAGGAGGGAAAAAAACACAGACACAATTTATCGTCGATTTCAAAAAGGGAAATATATGGAAATATGGGAAGTGGTGGGGAAGACGCAATTCCAGAACCAATGAAACAAAACCTATATAGGATTTGTGTATTTGTTTGTGTGTCCTTGGGCCCCATTGACCATCCTGGTGCTCATCCTCGAGTTCGGCCTCTGCGGCCCGTTGTCGGGCCCTCGGGTTACGTCGGGCCTGTGCCTCAACAGGAGGAATATATCCAAGCAAAGTGAACACTAATATGGGGAAGATTGTTCGACTATTGTTAGCTATTTTGGTGTATTGGGAGGGCCTGACGGCCGATGCCGCCGACCCGGAAGCACATCGACGACCATTTGGGGGAGAAGGAGGACGACGGGGAGGACGACGAGGAAGAGGAGGAAAAGGAGGAGGAGGAGGCAAGGGAAACGAGGGGAAGGAGGGGTGGAGGAAAAGGAGGAGGAGGAACCTTTTGTTTTTTTGTCCTCCTGTTCCTCCTCATCCTTGTCCTTTTTTTTTCCCCCCCTCTTTCTCCACCCCCCCTCTCCTGTACCTCCTTTTTTCTCCTCGTCCTCCCCCCCCACCTTCTCCTGACTCCTCCTCCTCTCCCTCCCCTTCCTCGACGACGGCGGCGACGACGACGACCCCATGTCGCCGCGCCTTGCCAAGCACCGGCGGGGGACGGGGGAGGAGATAAGGAGAAAGAGGGGGAGTTGTTGGAGTGGTGGGCCGTGGTAAAAAAACAATCACATTACCCCCGGGACCTGCCCCTGGACCACCCCCCGGAACCACCCCCAGTACCCTCCCGGACCCCCCCCCCGGCCCCCCCCCCGCCCAGGGAAGGGATCCAAAAGGAGAGCTTCGCCTTCACCTCGGAGAACGTGAAGTGGGGGCACTAGTAAAGAAACAGTCACATTTTCCCAGGGACCCCCCCCGGGACCACCCCGTGGGACCACCCCCCGGGACCAACCCCCGGGACCCCCCCCCTGCAGGGACCCCCGACCGTCAACATTTTCATTATATTTCGGTATCTCCAGTATTTTGTTGTAGTTTATGAACTTACGGTTGATTTTTGATGAATATCTTCGTAACCAAACGGAGTCTTTCAAATTCAACCCGTAAAACACAGGATGCTTTCAAACAGATGGCGAACAACCGTAAGAGGTACGGTTTCTTTTTTTTTTTTTAAAAAAAAAAAAAAAATGCCACGTGGGATCCAAATTTCGGGTCCGAGTGGATCTTGGCTATATTGAATATCTTGCGGCTTTGGGTGTCTTGGATACCATGTTTGGGATATGTAATGTGTTCGTGCGATTCTGTCGACAGTGTAATCGATTTGAAACGCAAAAGCTCCTTGAGCTTCAGAGTTCCAGCCCAAACTACTCCAGCAATGCAGCCCCAGCGATAGAAGCCCCAGAGCCCCCAGAGGCCCCAAGCCCCAACATTCGATTGCATTTCGGGCTCAAGACCTTCCTCGAACATCCTGGAGGCAGCGTTCTTAGCGTTGCACGCTTCACACACGCCGAGGCTTCCAGCCTCCACCGAGGAGCCTCCACCGAGGCTTCCAGCCGCCACCTCCGCCTCGCCATGGCGCCGGCGGAGCCCATGATCACGATCGACGGCCAGGTCAAGTCCCAGCGTTGGATTTGGCTCAGTGACACGCGCACGTACCTGCCGATCTGGGCCCCGATCAGCGGCGACGGTTTGCGCTGGTCGCGCCCAACGATTCGCCAGATGAAGAAGGAACTGCTCGATTCAGTCTCGACCATCGGCGTTGAGCTTGTGCGCGACGAAGCGGCCGTGACACATATCAAGTTGTGCACCAGCAAGATGATCACGAAGCAGATGTTCGCCAACGGCGAGGAGCCGCCCCAGAGCGATCACTTGGCCCCCGACGAATGGTCCGTCAACAATCGCACGCCCCTCGTCTTGGGAGTGGCCCGCGACGCTGAGTTCACCAGGTGCCGCGACAGGGATCCTGTTGGCAAGGAGCTGGACGTCATGCTGCTCCATCAGCAGCAGGCCGCGGAGACGTTCGAGAAGCAGAACTACCCGACGGCGCCCGAGGCGGCGAACTTCCGCAAGAAGAAGGCGGCCCAGGTGTCCTACGACCAGGCAGTGCAGGCCAGGCCGCGTTCAAGTCTGGCGCCAAGGCTGGTCTCGCAGCTTCTGGCCAGGTACTGGGCGACAGCCCAGGCGCGTCGTCGGCTCGGGGGAAGTTGGCCGGCGACCAGTCCGAGGAGAAGACCGGCGACGAGAAGTAGGCCACCTACAGCATCGAACCCGATCTCGAGATTGCTCGCGCGGCGGGTGGCCGCTGAGACGTGCGCTCAGAAATCAAACGGGCCATTATATATATATATATAATACGTGTGTGCGTGCGTGTGTGTATATCCCTTCCTCGCGCGGCGCGTCGCCGCTGAGACGCTGCTGCAGGCTGCGGCCCCCCGCCCGCCGCGAGTTCGGCTACGGGGATGAGCGATCGAGGCGCGCAGCAATGCGCGCGCGTGCAACACTCGATGAAACAATCGATCAATAACACATTTGTTTACGAAAAACCTAGGTTGACTTATTCTTGAATTGTATATTGAACCATAGGTATAAGTTTAGTGATTGGCCCATTTTGATATTCACTGCATGTTGCATTAAAGCGCGCAACCGCCATAGCGTTCTCATCCAGGCCCCAACGGCCGCGGGGTCCGCACCCTTGCCGTCGTGGGTCCGCGTCCTTGCCGAGCGAGTTGGGGCGTTGCTGCGAAGGGTTATCGACGGTCTCTTGGAGCGGTCTCGGAGGCCATGAGCCACGTCGAGGCATCTTAGGCCATCGCGGACGCCATCTCGGGCGCTCAGGGGCCCTCGCGGCGCGGGGAAGCAACGCGCCCCCCCCCCCCCGGGGACAGACGCGGGGGGGGGGGTCTCCGCTCGGGGGGCGCGTGGCCTCGGGCCCAAAAGGCCGCCGAAGAGGCGGATTCCTTCGCGCCGTCTGGGCTCAAAATGACGCGCTGCGACCTGCGCGACGGCGAAGCCGCCCGCGTTTTCGATTCCCACATCCAGATGGCACAATGTCTCCCCGACGAGCTGCGGCAACTCTCCCGCGTGACGAAGCACGGATTGACGCCTGACTGGCCGTCGCTGAAGAAGTCGTTCGACGAGCTCCGCGCGATTCCCGCGGCGTCGAGCGGCCTCGCCCCACGCCGGCCGTCAATCAGCGAGCAATTCAGAACGCGGCTTGGATGCAAGGGGCTGCGCTGGACGCCGAGCGAGGCAGATCGGCGCATGCTCATGCCCCACATGATGTTACCGACGCTTCTCCGCAGAAGCGACGCGGGCTGGATGCGCCTCGCCATTCTAAAGAACTGCGCATCCTCATGGGCACGGCGAAGCTGAAGACCGACGTCGGCAAGCGGATGCTCCCGCGCAAGCAGGGCGCACCGACCGTTGCGCCGACGCCCAGAGGGCAGGCCCCCATGGTCGAGTTCAGCGACGACGACAACCAGGCGACCGCCAACACCGATAACGAGGCCACGCAGGAGGACGCCAGCACCGTGCACAGCGAAGATGACTTGGAGAGCAAGCTGCTCAAAGCCGGGCTGCCCAGCCATGCCGCGACGTCGTCGTCGCCATCAGCGAGTGGCACCGCGCCCTTGACAGCATCGGATCTGGCGGCGCTGGCTGCTAGCCCCCCTCCGGGGCCATCTCCGCGGGAGTGCGCCGAGGCTTCCAAACCCAAGAAGCCGAAGAAGCGCGGCTCCAAGCCTCTGCGTTGCCAGTCTTCTGACGATGGCGTTCAAGAAGGTTAGCGCGCTCAAGAAGAATGGCAAGAAGCGCAGGCAAAGGACATGGGCAATGCCAAAGCCAGGGCCAAGCGCCGCGGGGTTGGCACGGGTAAAGCACATGTGAAGGCCAAGGCCGATGACGCTGGCGGCGCCGGCCCGATCGCCGACTACGCGGGCATCAAAGATGCGAGCATGCCAGCGCTCAGGAACCACGTGTACCCCAAGGCCCATTACATGGAGAAGAGATACCGCCTCGACATGGGGCGGGGCAAGACACGAGCATGGGCGTCCGCGGCCGAGTGCGCGAGTTAGCAGGTCTCGCTCTGGCTCAAAGCCGTCGGTGCCGACGCATGAGGGATTCGTGTGCATCGCTGATCGGCGATATGGGGCTTGCTGTTGCAGTTCGTTTGTATGGTTGCGCTTGCGCGCGTGCCCATTGAAGATGACATCCGCCACACCGGCCAGGGGTGTGGCTTTGGTGCGTTGAGGATGACCCGAACGTGGTTTGCAGGGTCCAGCAAGCCTATGGCGCCTGTCTCAAGGATGTCTTAAGAAGGAGGTCCCACCGGACGAAGATGTCCTAGGCATGTGTCAAGCGGATGACTCAATGCTGTCTTTCGTTTTACTGAGGATGTCTCAAGGCTGTCTGCTGCGTCCTAGGCGAAACGCTTATTGTTGCGCGTGTGTGCCGCGGATGTCTCGAGCGAAACGCTTGTTCCGCAAACGGCAATTTAGGAGTGTAGGGAACACGAAACAATCGCCTTCCGTCTCCTCGGCGAACGTTCGCTCGTCCATCGCAGGAGACAGGGGTCACCGCATTTGCAAATTGAAGAGCAGGTTGAAGAGTACATTGCAGAGTAGCTTGAAGAGCAATGTCAGTATAGCTTGGACTCCAACGTATAATTCGCACTGGCATTCAAAACGACATTGCGCCCACGCAACCACGGACAC